TATTACTGGTAAATATTAAATTTTTCTATTTTTTGACAAGTCTGAAAAATTTTCGAAATCGAATTTGAAAAAAAAAATTTTTTTTTTTTTTTCAATTGCAAATATTAAAATACTCAGTATCATACGTTGTGCCAATATAATCACGATCGGTGTCTTATTATCTTCCTATTATTATTCTCCACGACTTGCATATTTATACTATCGCGAAATTCGAGCCGCAAATATACTGTCGGATCGAATTGCGCACGGCGTGTGCGCATGCGCATATTTATAGTCCCAACGGGACCCTCCTTACGGGAGTATGACGTTCGCGAGCCATGCAAATGCAAATAGTATATATTAATTCGCAAATTGTTATTGCAAAATCATGCACAGCCAGTCATTGTTTAAAGATGCATATTTTATCCCTTTGATCGTCGTATTGAATTCATCGTAACATTCAAATCCTTACGCAGAGCTTTAAGCTGTATCCGCAGTCGTTATTTTCGAACCACCCTATACATATTTTTTTGCCACTATTATAATTTCATGCGTATTTACAATCGCGTTACGAATCACTTTTTGACATTCATAAAACGTATCTGACGATCTCGAAATTTTGCCAATCGCTAATATATCCAAGTATTTCGCGACCCATAAAAAAAAAAAGCATCCAACTAAATAATTTCCAGCAAAAATATTAATTCCTAAAAATGACAACACATCGTGCAAATTCAATAATTACAAAAAAATTCCAATTTGCAAATATTTCGTTGCTCTCTCTCTTACAGCAAATGCAAGTTACAAGTCACCCAATTACCATTGATGATCAAACAATTATTTTGCGCGAAATCATGAAAAAAAAAAAAAAAATTAATTGCACAAGTAGTCAGCGCAAGCATCAATGACTGCAGCGTAATCGGACTATTCGAATGGAGGTATTTTCAAATTTTTCCAGTTTCTCTATTGCAGCAGCAAACTAGCCATTTACGAATTCGCGCGTAACTGTATCTCAAACGAATAATGGGAGCACGGCTCAGGCTTTTTTTCCGATAATTGTTCAACGGGAACAAGGATGTGCCAGGAACAAAAATTCTTGATAACTCAAAGACGCACAGTCAAGAACCGCAATGACCGTTAGCACTTTGTCCATCGTCTGACCAACACGGTCTATTACCACTAACTACTTTATTAGTCAGTTACCTACTGACACGCGATCTATTTGATATAACGTGTATATATATAGTACAATACCACATACTATAGTCAGTACAATACTGTTCGTAAGTCGCTTAAAAAAATTACAGAAAAATGAAAAACAAGAACCGTTATAAATATAAATACAAAAAAAAATGGTCTCGTACAATAACGGTATTAATAATCATGTTAATTATTAGCGATTTAAATAGTCATTCATTTGGTCGTATCGTAATCGAGTATTGAATTTTGTAAGTTTTTTTTCAAAATTCAAATTTTTTTTAAATCACGTACAGTTTGTTTAGCTCGCGTTACGTAATATTTTAAACAGTACAATTTCTGCAGAGGTAATGACTCGAATAATTGCATGCCTACCGCATGCACTTTGCTTGCACTTTGACAATCCGACGCGGATGACTAATTGTTGCAATACGAGCAGATGACAGTTGGGCAATATTTATAGAGGCGAACTTTGCACAGTTGACAGATATGAAAGTAAGGCGATATCCGTGTAACCTAAACAAAAGATGGACTGGATCCATTATCGATTTTGCAAAACGATGACCGACATTACGAATGATCTTGGATCGTGTAAGCTGGCGTAATTTATGATCATCAATATTTCGCGCGACTTGCAAATTACGTTAATTATCAAGCAGACATTAATTTTAAGTGCCATCGTTACCTGCTGATCATAGCATTTTCTTTGATATTAATGGATATCAATTTTAGCCGCTTAAAACGTCATTGATTGGTTAATAAATTATTGCAAAAATCGAAAATATTCTTTAACGTCTTGCTAAATTAATTTCTATTCGATTTGACCATACCCCACGATTAAATTTTCAATGATACTTTTTGGAAATATAAAATAAATTTATGACAGTGATAAAAAAATTTTCTCATCACCCATTGAAAAGTTTTATCGAAACAGCCTCTCTCTTTTCATTCGACGGTTTTGCTCGAGCAAAGTTATCCCGGCTCCGAATGTAACGAAAGGAAACGGCCTTACCAGGAAAAGCATTCGAAAGTAAGAAACGGCAATGAGTGGTCATTAGAGGCATCGCCCGATTGTTAAGCCGGGTTCACAAGTGCACTTGGCACGATTCTCGCAAGGATCGTATAACCGGGTCGCAATTCTCATTGTCAGTCAAGTGCATCGATCTGCAGGAGAGAAACGGCTGCTTTCGAAAAGATCGAGAGTGGTGGTTAAAATCGTAAAGATCTCTTTATCGATATATCGACGGATAAGACAGATCGATGGCGATGAGTTATCGCGCACAGAGAAGTTTCATGGTTGGTTTGATCGCTCTTAATCGAAATAAGCACAATTTGCATGGTAATGCAAACTTTCGATCCGAAAGACAAAACGCGAGATTCCCGAGATGAATTTCATGAATTTACGTTAAAAGAAAGAGATTTTTCATTAAAATAATAGAAAACTGTGAAAGTTATCCCGAAGCGAGTATATACTCCAAGTACTTTCGAAGAAATGATCTTCCTAGCTCGCAACTCCAGTACCGCGCACTTGTATAACACAGCAGATAAATTCTTTTTGTTCTCGTTGCGAATAAGAAATATCGCCGGTGCATACTGTTTACGTATCATATATTCATATATACTGTGCATATATCCATATTCCACAGCAATATAATCTGCGATACTCGTATATCTATATCTACGTATATTAATGCTCAACCGTAAAAAAATACCACTGGGTAATCGCAGATGAATAGAAAGTTATATCTGCTAATTCGGCCAACGCGCAGGAGTATAGAGGAGAAAAAAAAAGAGTGACAATTAGTAGTGACAAGTACCGGACCAGCTGGCAGTACCGTTTTTTACTTTGACACATTAAATCCCGACAATAATAATACGAGTTAAAGTGTTACCGAACGTGAGACGCCCTGAAGCGAATTCCATGGTCAGCGAATGGGCGAAATTAGATTTACCATGGCTTATGCGACGTTCGAGTTTAACGGTATCCGAGTAACGTTGCTAAAAGTCATTTTTTCATGAAATTCACACGCGTTAATTACAGACTGACAATAATCGTCGTTTACAACGAACGAATTAGGATAACGCGTGCAAAATCCACGCCAGCCTTTGTCACTCGTGTAACGCTCGAAGACAGGCTTCTACAGGTTAGGTACGTCGCCGTCGCGACAAACGGTTTCGACTCGTCTTACCTTAGTCCTGCAAGTCCTTGGTCACTGAGACGCGATTGACGATATGATACGATTAAGTCCTCGGTTCTCTTTGAGTCACTCAGCCACTGTCTGTATCCTTTCACCGATCTCGTAACGCATCACACGGTTCTCGCACCTTTTACTTAACTTTACTGCAGCGCTGCCGGGCTACGCGCATGCGCAAGCCTCTATATAACGAGGGCTGCTATTGGCCGAGAAAGAAACATGGCGACCAAGCATAATACGAACGCGGTACGAATGCACGTGGGGCTAGATCGATGTGACTTGCAGGTATTTTAATGCTTTGACAAATATTTTTTGGCTACGACCAGAAATCGAAACGAGGACGTTGTTCGGCCATCGTTCTCATTGTACGTACGTAAGTCCTGTTATACTTCAGTGCTCGGGGTAACAGTGAAATCTGGCATCCGTTAAATTAGGTTGATGCTTCTGCTAAACAGCCGCAGGGAGAGATAAGGCATAAGACGTGGGGCGTCGATTGGCACGTGCCGAAGTTTGCTCGGACAGCCTTGGAAGTAATTTAGAAAATCGTAAGAACGATCCACTCGCCCGACGCCCTCGTCGTTGCCTACGGAGTTTAACGACCCGTCCATTAAATAACGTTTTAGCCTAGCTTATCGTTCTGCTCGAGTCTTCTTGGCTTTTTTAAATTGTCTTTTAAGACCTGGCAAATTGATGACCTTCAAAGCTCACGAGAGCTTCGAGCTGTTATCTAATGAAAAAAACTATCAGCCGATACTAACGTATGTATATTTATTCACGCGTTAAAATAATATTCAAAAAATTCAAGGATATTTCCGAAATACCAGTTTCACTGGTCTGGATGCCAATGGAATATACGTTAAGAACGTTAAATTCGAATCTCTCTTGTACCCTGCATTATACCCAACGAGCGTTACACGTAATTGCAAAGTAACAGCTAGAAAAGTGAAACGCGAAAGTAAAATCGTACAAAACTATTATAAGTAAATGGTGTTAACGGCGACGACCAGATTTCGATTTCGAGTTTAGATATCGATTCAATCGTAACGGTTTCGAGACATCGATATGTCTCTGCAGTTTCGAATTTTCACTATATACAATAACGACCTTACGTACGTATGGAGGTTAGGTTAGGTGTGTCCGCTTCCCTTAGTAATTATCACGACACGAATATAACTGTAACCCAGCAATCGTGACGGTTTAGAAAGACCGATTAGGTTCAAGGTTAACGAACGACATTGAAAAATAACGAAGGAGTCATCGGATCTGTCATCGCGAGCCTTTAGCGAAGTGTTAAATAATTTCAGACGCCAGTTTCGGTACGTTAATAACTTTGAGGTTAGGAAGCCTCTCGGCGTTGATTTACGTGTTTTCCTAACCGTCGTTTTTTTTCCTGATCTTTTTTTAATTTTTTCGACTAAAAAAAAACTGTTTGGAGGCACTATAATTTTCGGAATTTTTTTCAGGGTCTTCGTCAGTGTCATCAGTGTCAGCTTCTTCGTATTTTACGTGACGACCGTCGCGGATTCCGCTACCTCGTTACGTAAGGTTACGCAACGATGCGTTTGCGTTACCTTTTTTTTTTCTTTTTTTTTTCCCCAATGGCCGCAAATAACAATAAATTGTTCTTACCTCGTGGGCAACGGGGTTGTTCTTATTTCGGCTGGCGTTGGATGAGTTATTAATGGAGGAAATGGAGGTGAGGGTGGCTGAGCCGACACCTCCGACTGTCTTTCCGCTGACCTTCGTTCCACCTCCGCCGACATCTTTGTGCAACGCTCCGGGACTCTGAAATGTCACGTAAGAAAAATCTTAGAATATTTAACATAAGATTCGATCCGTATAAAACAACAGAGTGAAGTTACACGAAAATTTTCTTTTATACATATATTTATATTCGAATATTAATAAGCCCAACGCATATACGTATGTTTAACATAATTTGCCAATCGTGTTTACCCGATAGCGACAATCGATGGAATTTCTTGGAAAATTTCCAAGGAACGAGTGACAATAAAAAATTATTGACCAACGAGAGGAGACAATCCTGATAACGATATTGTGATAAGAGAGAAAAACAAACTTCGCGAAAGATGACATTTCCACGTAAAAAAAAAAAAAAAAAAAAACTTACTTTCTGTTTAACAAAAAAAAATTTTTTTTCACACTTTCCAAATACACGCGGAACAAAGACTAATTAATTGGCAAGAGTGACTGCAAGAAAATTCCCAGACGCTCCCGGGACAAAGATAACCACCGATTGTTACGCAAGACACGTTTACCTTATGCAAAAAAAAAAATTACATTCTATCATCGGCGCCGAAGAGAAGCACGTTTTCTTTGATCACCGAGAAACAAGTAGAAAAAAATTTGATGCATTCGTTTGCCAATACGACGGCATGAACAAAGTTTACGATTATTCTTTCTTTTATCCATTCGGCTGGCTATGAGCTTTAGCGTAGGACTGCCTGCTAACGTATTATTTGTCTCCTCGCAGTACCAACTCCAGAAATAAAACTCGACAAAATCCCGAGAGACGTTCGATTCGCTGGAAACTACAGGGTGGCCACTGAAAGACTGAAGAATTTCAAGGTTTTTCTTTTTTTTTGTTTTTCATTCCGTCTATCAGTAGCCACCTTGTATTATATCTGTCTTTTTCTATAGTTTTTTTTTTTTTCCTTTTCATGCCCATTTCTATGCTGGCAAAATTTTCATCCTGACTGTCAGAGACTTAGCAGACGACAGTATCGACCGAAGACAAAGGAATGACGATACAGATTATTCGTATTATGCACTGCGCACAGTATGCAGTAGACTGCATAGCAGGTGGTAGATAGTAGTTATGAATAATCTATATACGGTATATATGTATACAGGTATATATACGGTATACAAGATTTGATCAGTAAGCATTTTTTTTCATAAGCAGCTAATATCAGATTGATAAACAATATCGAAGATAGCACAAAACCGATGTTGGTCGCATTAGCGAGTATCGAATTCGTTCTTGGTAATAAAAAAATTAATTTTCTTTTTACACTGAACGACAGTCGGCTTGCTTCGTTTATCATAAAATTAGACTATTAGCCATTATATTTCTTGGATATCGAAAAATGTACTGGCATATTCCTTTATATGTAATTTGGACTAGCCACCAGTTTTGGTAATTAGTTATAACCGTGATAAGACTCGTAACAATGGTCCTTGGGATATTAAGTACTTGCGAAAGCACGATTAGATAATTAATGGTAAATTTAATAATAATTATTAATAACAATTATTGTTAATACTGATAATTAGTCTTAATTTTCATGGAAGGTGTATGCGTTCCTTATCATTCAATTTTTCGTATTTGGAAATATACGGTGATAATGAAAAAGTGGGTCTCGACGATAACTCAGCTTAGTGCACGACTAAATACAATGCTCTAACATGTACCTTTATATATATATATATATAACTGTATTTCATTTTTATATTTGTTGTTACATAATTAATCAAACAAATTATTACGACACGCTTAGCTCGTTTGGAAGCGTTTTGACCTACTTGCAGTCTATTTACAAAAAGATAAAAAGAAAAAAGTAAAGGAACTTTTCAGCATATACCAGACGGTTTTCTAATTGATATTCCAGGTGGGCATCCTCATCGAAAGTCAAGAGCGACGGTCGCGTCAACAAGAATGCAGAATGCAACGTAGAGCGCAGGATGCACTTTCCCACCGAGAAGTGCACTGCTCTGGATGCACGTAGAAAACGCGACTACCAATGCGGGGAGGAATTTGCTAAACAATCCTCGTAACAATTAGCGCCGTTCTTGTTATCGCGAAACAATGAAACTGCCTGTTACCATTACCTGTGCTAAATCGTTGCGAAATTGCATCGCTGTTTCGCATTGACTCGGACGAATTAACACAGCCCGAGTTATCACAGGTTGTGATAAGTACACCGGATATACAGGTAAAAAATTGAAATGGGGGATGGTTGAAAAAAAAGAAAGTTGAAGTTTGTATGACATATGTCAAAAGTGACGAGACTTCGTATGCAAGGTAAAGGGGTATGCGAGGTAAAGGTAAAGGCGCCTCTTTCGTAATCAGACTCATTAACGAGGTAATTATTAAGTTACGACTTTGCCCGAGTTTTCAAGTAACTGCAGTAACGGTCGTGGTGCGAATTTTAAAAATCAAATCCTTCGGTATATCGAGCTTCGAAAAAATGTAAATCTGAATTAAATATTAATTTTACATTACTAAGTCAGGTCGTTGAATGTGGATCAATTATTTCCTAGAAATCTTTTTCAAGACCTTATTATCGTTCAGGCCTGCGCAGTGGAGAAATATTTGACAAACTGACGTATACTTCTTCTTCACCATTTATGCAGTTCTCATGTAAATTCCCACACACGTCATTTAGTCAGTACTTCCCTTGATTGTCGATAATAACAATTACGCACGGTTCACAACAAAAATTTTCAAAAATTTATTATATATCGATATCCAACGATCCGAGTCTTCGCGCAAATTCAACTGCAAAGAAACTCGTGTTACGACACGCCGATCCAACTTCTACTGATAGTGCAACGATTATGCCCTTATCAGTTGACATACTCGGTGTTAATCTATCGCGTTGGTATTGATCGATTCAGATAATCTATCTGTGTGGCATTATGACAGTCACGTAAATTCTGCGAAATATAAACATTCACCTACAATTATTAAACAAATAATTATATATATATATATATATATATATATATATATATATATATATATATATATATATATATATATATATTAATTAAATTTCCCATTTTCCCCGAAATCCCGACTATCTGTTTTCAACATATGTGATGCGTCACCAGTATCTTCCGTATCTATTATGCTGTTCGGATTCCGAGTTTCCCCAAGAGCCCATATAAATTATCAGATACCGAATACCGTCAAAAAAAATGCAAATTCGTGTCACTCTTCGATATAAAATTTTTGGTCAGAAATGATTAAAAAATTTTTTTGAAAAATTCATACGGAATCAACTCTCATTTTTATTGATACTAAACGACAGCACTTGCTATGGGTAGTTTTAAGTGACTTTTCACAGATAATCTATTTCCACTGTCCCGTAACAATACATGGTGGTCAGAAATAGTCGTGCAAGTTTTTATCGTACAGGCAGGCATTACGGTACAGTTTTACGCTTGAGAAAGCCCTTACGTTAATCAGACCGTAACCTCGAGAATGGCTACCGACTTTTTAAAAAGTCCGTCTGCCCGGAGTCTATCGAACGAATTATATCACAGTACTTCTGTAACGTACTTCGATAATCGATCGCCTTGAGATTTCGCAAATTAAATCATTCCACTACCACCCATGGTGTTTCTAATGTAATTTCGTTATGATTTTTTTTCTTTTTCAATAAAATTCGCCACGTCATTGAAAACTCAGTTATAATGACGAATCATAGTCATTACGATACCAAATACAGCGTGACGTCATCGGAGCATATACGTACACGCATATATTGAAATATCGATAAATATTAGTGGCATTTTCAATTGAGTGTACATATAGACTGAATAGCGATACGTGCAGTTACTTCCGTTTTTGGTTGTGAAAAAAAAAAAAAAATCTTCCTGTAGCCTTCGACTTCATCAAGCCCAAATCCTTATTAAAAATCAATCAATCCCCGTATAGATTTCGTGAATGATCATGACTGCGATTTGCCCTCGTGAAATCTTACACTGAGTCACTTCCGGTTTGAAATGAAAAAAAAAGTGATCCTTCGCTCCATCAAGTTCGCACTTCCGCGAACCTCGAAAAAAAAGGTTACGCGTGAACATAACCTTCTACCGTGCGTTACGCGAAATTTACATAGAGAGAAAGTCTGTCAGACGGTAGGTAGAGGCGCTGCAGTCGCTGCGGGTTAAACTGGAAGTTGCCCGCCGATGTAATTTGCTCCTTTTACGGGGGGCGCATATCGACCGATGTTATCTTGTGGAAGTTACTTAGGGTCATTGACCTCTGACATACGTATAAGCGCGATGGGGGTAACGTGCGAAAAAAAAATTTTAAATTGAGGTTGGTCAAAATTTTTTTTTTTTTGGAATTTCTCAAAACTTACCTTATTCAACTTTTCAGTGGCTTAACGGATTTTCAAGCTCGTCACGTAATTTGATATGAATAATCAAAGGGGCTTTTGGGTACAATTATGAGTACCCTGTACCCTTAATCGTATTTCCATAGGGTGTCCTACTGTTAGGTACAGCTGATACATAATTAGACATCCGCTTTGAAAATTGACCGGTCACGTGGTGAGCGAACCCGTTAGAATCCTATGCGTTTACACGTGGGGCGAAAAGGGACCGACAGATGGCCTGTCAAAAAAATCTATAAAGTACGTAAATGCGTTTTAGCGATTACGGCAGTCCGATTAGATTCGATAAGAATTTTTGCGAGTGCCTATACAGCATCTCTATTGTCATCCCGTTAGATGGAAACAGAGAGATGGAAACTTCATAAAACGAAAGTAAGCAAGTCCGTAACGACGACTCGGTCGATTTTCTCGCTCGAGCGAATCTTCTTACGTCGCTTTCACACGCTGCACAGTAATAGTCAATAACAAAAATTTACCCAGATCCAAATTATATGTAAAAAAAAATTTTTTTTCCCCATAACCCAACGCACGTGAAAATCCATAAATTGTCGAACATGTGGCTGAGTCAGGATTAAGAGTAAAAAAAATTCAGGGTTAAAACGAAGCAAGCGAGGGTGGGTCTGTTTAATATTTTTCTAAGGGTACCCAGCCTGAGCAGCTGCTTCGAAAGGGTCCAGAGAGAAAGAAAAAGAAAAAAAAAAGACCGGGAATAAAAGGAAGGAAAAAAAAGACCATGGTAGAGTGAAGGATACGTGATGGGATTGTAACCTATCATTAGCCCGAGTGAACCCGACCTTACCCGAGAGTGCCCGAAGGTACAGTTATGGGTATAGTATGGTAGAATGAATTTTATTTTTACATTTTCTCTCGGGACACCTGGCAGCACTGGGGATCGCAGGTGACGAAATTCACCAGTTCAGATTTCCTGTTTTCGCTTTGTTAAAAAAAAATCCTTTCTGCGCATGCGTATACGCATGATCCTTAATCCTATAGATGTATTCAGATTTCAATGGAAGAGATGCATTTTTTTTTTCTTCTCTTCAAGGCTCCACGGGCGCAGGTTGGCAGATGCATCTACGGACCTGACACCTGCCAACCTGCCATCGGCATAGGAGCACCGTGGGGCTTAGGAACTGGTCGCAGCTGTCCATCCGAATTGGGACAAACAACCATTTGGCGATTTTCACTGATTTATTGTAAAATTATCAATCGAAGATCGATCAATTTATTGGACCTAATGCATTTCCCACGGTGATCTGTTCCCGATTCAATGCCAAAGCACGAGCAAAGTACATGGGAATACTTGAGGTATACAAGTAACGCGCGAATCGCAACATACCGGAATTCACGACGCACTGGATTTCCGATGAGTTTAATGAGACTTCGACCAAAGGGGCTTATGGGTAATTTTGTTGCAAATTGCGCTTCGACGGGGACCCTCGAAGTATAAAAAAATCAATACACAAAAAAAAAGGATAATTTCAAGTAAAGAGACATTCCAATTAAACCGACAATTACCCTGTATAAAATTTCTTTCGTCAAAAAAAATAAATAAATAAAAAAGAAAGGAAAAAAAATTATCTAAACCATACAAACTTCACGGTCTAATTAATTACTATAATTTCAACAACTTTAATTACCTACTGGTACGCGTTCCGCGTGTCTTGTAAAAAGAAGTATCCACGGGATCTCAAGACCGCTACCCAAGGAGTTTCACTAAATCTTAAACACAGAGGGGTTAAGTAAATCGGGGTTAAGGAGGGCAAAGCGTTCTACCGAGGAGCCAGGGAAGATCTCATTCGGCGACAGTCGCACATTGTGCCGCGCGCGGCTCGTTAAACGCGTTGACACAATAAAACGAGCCACTGAAGGAGAAAATGTGGGCCACAGAAAATGATCTCATGACGGCACAGCTGTATCCCTGGAGTTTTATTGGATCCAATGGCAATAGCCACCACGACAAAAGTGTCTCGTCCTATCGCGTTCCTTCGTAAGAGTCGCGCATGCGCAGTGAGACCGAAATAGGTTAGGCGTTGGACTGGCGCAGTAGCCGCTACGCACCTCGCAGTTTCACCAATAAAACCTGAAGCTAATTGGCACTCGTGGAGCATTAGAAAATCGTCTGGCTAAACTAGACGGGTGAAGAAAAAAGTATCTAAACAGCGTACGGTGAAGGCAAGTACAGAACTGAAGAAAATGGGGGCTCTTGTGATCATTGGGCACAGCTGTGCATATACATATAGCTGGAAACGGGTCACATGTGCGATCCTAGTTAAGGAAGAGGGTCGGCTCAGTGCCTTTGGCTAGGTATAAATAAAAGGCAATATATATATATATATATATGTACAAGCAATGTAATAGAAAGACTAGTCTTTACTGGTTTCCAGTGCGCCCACCTTGCACAGCCTTCTGTATCGTCGTGCCAGGAGACCAGAAGCTTTACGCTATAGAGCCTATATAGGATTGCAGTGAAACTTTCACGGCCACGGGCCCCGACCTGGTCACTCCGAGAGACAGGGTCGGCTACGAAAAGTAAAAAAGATATTGAAAAGACGCAAAAAAATGAAGTTCCAGCAACGGCCTGTAACTGCTGTTACTGTTGCCCCGCGCGAGCAACAACGATCCACACGAGAAGGGAACAGGTTATCGAATTAAAGCGATACGCCCGGACTCTCCTCCTGCCTCGGGCATGTAATTTCTATGCCGCCGGTTGCTTCGCCCTGGCCTTTCGAAGAACTGCCCAAGGCATAGCCACTGGTGCACTGCAGGATTCAGTACCCGTATAATTTTGCAGTTCCCTACAGTACCGAACGATACAGTGCACGTGGCATGAGAAATTAATAAGCGAGAAAATTAGTGTTTAGAAAAACTTTTTCAAAATTCTCACGCTTCCTAGATGAGCTACATTTCTTTTGTCACGTTCTCTATTTCTCTCGTGTTACATTATCCAGACTCTTCCTCCCGTCACTTTTGTGTCGTACGTTCCGCGCACAGGAGTACACACTGTGTAACCTCACGGGCCAAGACGCACACCAGGGTTTACGACAGTTTCAAGTGGCAGAAGCTCCGTATCTTGAGCTTTAATTTATTTATCTTATACCAAGAATAGTGCCACTCCGTTGGTAGTATTGCCTCTAGTAGCCGATACGCACTTGGCTCGTGCACGTGCTCGTTCGGACAGACATTGACTTTGTACGAGACTCTGGTCTTTCTTTTTTTTTCTCCCAAATCTCTCGTCAGTCGCATAGACTAAAGTCGTTGGAAGATATTGCTTCTTCTTCTATCCCTATGATTATTTTTCTCGCTCTCCTTCTCCCCCTTTCTGGGAGTTTTTAGTTTTCACTCCTCGCGGGACAAGCTCGCGCGTATATATGCTAGACACGTTGGTGGGAGGTGAATGCACTTATGGAATACAGTACGCAGCAGCGTGTATATATGAGTGTATTTAGAGGAAGCTAGCGTTAATTTTTTTGAATATCGTGCAGAGATATATGATTACTAAACTTCCGGTCCGATTGCTTCCTCTTGTTGACACTTTGGAATCTACGAGTATCGAGGACAACGCGAAGGAAATGAAAATGGGTCTCGCTCGAATGTATAAAAAATTGTACAGTGATGAATAAATATTTTATATACGTAATAAACATTGATACTGATACAATGACTTGCGAACAGCGCAGGTACTCACCCCATATAGAGATTTCAGTTTGACGTGATTCAGTGCCGGCACATCCACCATGGAACATTTGAGTAAAATCGTGGTCGTCTGACTGGGCATTGTTGCCGAGCGATCAAGTTACTTCGATTAAGAAAGAAGATCCTCGATTTCCCATGTATTATCACAGAATGCACCAAGTGACTTTAGAAGAAATTAAAAATCTCTCTCAGTGACACGTCAAACGGACAAACGGTCTCGCACCACACATTTCGCCACGGGTAACAAGGAAAAAAGTTCTAAACAATTGTCAAGTCTGGCAAAGGACACGCGAAACTCGGATAAAGATGCCTTGCTACACTTTGACAGTGCGTGCGCACCTTTTACACGCGGCAGTTTGAATTCGGCAGTGTTCGAACGAGCGTTTAAATTCGTGCTGTTAAATTGAAATCGGTCGGTAAAGAAGCTCCGTACATACTGATCAAAAAACAATGATCAAAACAATGGATCTTCGTTCTCGACAAAGTGCATATATAAATCACACCCAAGTCCTGGACAATACCAAATCGAAAACGCGATTAACAAAAATTAATATCGGAGCCTGATTTTGGCTGGCGCTTCGGCGCCTCACCGTGCCTGACTGACTGACTGGTTTTCACTCAGTCACTTTGTAACCGAGTGGAGTTGCAACCAATCCCCTCCCTCACGTCTGTTCTACGTATCCCAACGACTGTCCCCCTCTTTTCACCTCCTTGTCCCTCATCCACTAACCACTTACAGCCCCACTACCATGACGAACCGTACTGACGAACACACTTCGGATCCTCAGGTCAATTCGTCCGTGAGTCCCTATCTCTCGAGTGCGTGTGCGTCTGTGCTTCGAATGTCTACGAGTGGAACTGTGTGTGTTTGGTATTGTATTAGGCGCACTGATGTATGTATTATACTTGTTGAACCCATACGAAGAGGTTAGGACGATATTCAACTGGTATTCTTGACGTGCGTTGGGAACGTGTACACATTTGGTTACGTGGGTAGTGCTTTATTCTTATCAGGTTTTTCGTACATAGAAGAAGACATACACAGACCGACTCGGGGTGGGTTGTTGAGTCTGTGGCACTGGGGGGGAGTTTTGACTGGCTTCTTGGAAAGGACGTAAAAGGTGGTACGTGGAAATAATTTTCTAGGGTTATCGTGACAATTTTAATGTGTACTTTTTAAATTGAGTGCAACGACTTTGTCTCGAGTCGATTAAAATTCGTCGTACTAGCGACAGTGGCGACTCTAGTGGCGGTGGAAGTCATTGGAAGGTCGTAGAATCCGGTGTCGTGTTTCCTCGAAGATACGAGTGCGACTGTCTTCTATTGTTTCGTTTCCTTTCATCGAATCTACTGTGATGGGATAGACGAGGGCGTCGTGTGTTTACCTCCGACATTTCAAAGTTTAATAACTACAGACGCACGTAAGTAACCGGAAGAATCTGTTCGGTGAAGTCTACTCCTTCCTTTTTTCTTTGGAATACGTCGGTTTACTTCATGTTTTTCCCTTTTGATTTGTTCCGCGAGTGCGAAACCGCACGTAAGTAACAGCCCAGTGGCTCGCTGGTCGTATACATGGGTTCTCGTGTGTTATCGGCTCTAAGATCAATGTTTCGAAGTTATGGCGCGTAGACGACGACGTCGGCTATCGCGTCGAGACATAATCTAGCGACCGCGAGACTGCATTGGAAACCGCAGAAAATTCGATAGCTTCGCCGCTCGACTAGCCGTCGGCAGATTCTAGCAAGACCCCTCCGTTGTAAACCAGGTTTAAAACGTTTCGTGTAAAAATCTCGTATGCTACGTGTTAACCAGGTTTGCCGATGTTCATAACCTAAAACTAAATTCTACCCGATTGTCACCACCTCTCTGCACATACAGGGTCTCCAAAGAAGCGTCTCGGTAAATTCTCAATATACATTCCCGGTCACGTAATAACAAGAGGCCCTTTATAACGGGGCGTCCGCCATTATTATATAGTTACACCGAGTGCCGCTAGAGTGGCAAGAATCGTGATCCGACCAGAATTTTTCCGAAGAGCGTCCACAGAGACAAGGAAATTACCTGGAGCATGACGACGTAAGTTCACGCCTGTATATTCCGTGCGTGCTCGTAACTTCCATTCGTTAGAATAAAATACGTTCCTCTTTTTTTCTGTCTCTTGTTACACTCGGGGACTTTGACCGTAAGTGGACAATGGGAGTGTGCGAATCTTCCATTATGTCGGCGCACGTTCCAGGACTGTCGCGTTAGCCATGGTCAGTGTGTGCGGACCCCCCGCTATACGCTTCTACGCATGCGCGCATCCTCGTGGCCTTTGTTATGCTTTGTTATGCCTCGCGATGACTCGGATAAAAGCAAATAACCAAAGAAGACCGGTAAGAGCAACTGCCCTCAGGAATTACAACGGTATATATACAGTCTGACCCGAATACAGATACGAAACGAATATCTATTTACTCACTCCTGTAATTCACTGTCTTCCCGTTGGCGCTGTAGAACGACTCACGACGACGATACGTATAACCTGTTAATTGAATCCGAGAAATCTACAGTCATCGATTACGAAAATTAGCGCAATACCCGGTGACAATTTTTAAAATCAATTTTACACTTTCCGGCAATATTCTTTGGTCGTAATTTCAATTTTTCTCTTCTGCAATCGTCCAATCGTCCCGTAGCTTATAATTCAAGGCATTTCAAGTTACATAGACATTTTCTTCTGCTTTACTCTGTCGTCTGTCTATTTACGCATTCTCTTTTTTATCCACAGTATCCCGTATGCGCAACTCGTCGGTATATCAGGAATGTAAGAACGTGATTGCGAGCAGAATACTTTCGTCGCGAGACGGAACACGAGGTGACTCATACTCGCGTCCATAACGAGAGGCATCGTCTCGGAAAGGAAATAGGAAATGTAATTCCTTTCGCAAGACAAGGTGACACAGTGGCATTGACTTCAGCCGTGCTCAAGACCCGGCAGTGCTGTCACGTTTTAGCAAAGAAATTAGCCCTGAGACAATTACGCTGCTTTATGTACCTCCAACGGGGTACAACGAAGCAGTGGCCAAACCCAGTAAAGGAAATAGGAAATGTAATTGCATTGACGGAACACGATGGCAGACTAAAGATGGCCGACTTTACCTAACCTCAACTGCTAATTGCGTAACGTACTAAAGTATATTATATACCTGGCTGACTGTACTGCATGGATTATAGATGACTCTTTTTTCTTAATCTCTCACGCTAACCCTTATCATCTACATTCCGATTCCAGTTTGACTGCATCGGCCTTCCGTAATCTTCGTGCCTGATTTCTCAACGTCATATCCTGCCTTGTCGAAGAATTTCAAGTATGCGACAGTGACAGCTCGAGACGACTTGCCTGCTTTTAGTCCCATCTGAATAACTGGAGTGATTCGAGATAAGATATCCGTATAAGTGAAAGTCTCTGTTATCAGTGAAACCGGAAAGGCACTATCTTGGAAATTTTTTATAAATTCGTTCTTCCGAGAGTTTTTTCTCGTCACTTTCTCTTCTTAATATTTTTCACGCAATTTTTTTGTCATATTCAAAAATTGTATTTTAACTAAATCGAAAATAATACAAAGACTCGTGTATGCGTCGGGTACAGCAATTCACGATTCAATGGTATACACGTTTTTATGTGTGTCAAAAAAAAAATATGCAGTTTCGTATTCTTGCTATTGGCAATTTCATGGAAAGTCTTTGGATATAGGTAGACGTACTTGGGCTCATCGTTCAGGGCAATTTTAACGTTGTTACAATTCGATACGTTTCGCTGCGCGAAATGAAAGTCAGGCCGAAGGCTCTTATAATCTGAAGAGATAAGAGAGAAGAAAACAAATTTTACTGGCACAGTTTCGAGGTTATGTATTATTTATTCTCCGATATCTCTGTGCTATTTATATTACAGTATCATTTGTTTCTGACGTTTTTCACAGGATCTATGCAGAATCGAAAATGACGGAATTTTAAGTTTCGCGTGTATTTTCGCATAAATATTTTTTTTTTATTCCGTGCAAATGCGTTATGTAAATTTAATCGGAAATTTACAGTACAACGCAGCTGCAATTTGCCAGCCGGTGCGTCGGACAGATGAAAGGAAGATTCCACTGGAGTCGAGTAACTCGTGGGCAAGAAACGGATTACGATTGCAAAAAAAAAAGGAGATAGGAAATCCCGAGTTTCTTAAATATCTAAACCTGTGCCCGTTAACGTTTGAATTCTTAAAACACCAAGAGACGCTTTGCGGTACGGCGAATCCACAACGAGCGACTTCGGACTCTCAGAATTCTACTGCTGTCCGCACGAAATTTTCTATACACTGTCGTTTTATCCCGTACGACAAAATCAATAGTATGTATATATATATATATATTATAATACGTAGCATACATGCACACGTAATTCCCGAAGATTTTTTGTTCCTTCCAGAGACACGTGCGCGGTGGAAAAATAGATACGTGCGTCGCAGGTCATTCCACGTTGGAAAAGCAAAGAGAAGAAATAGGAAAGAAAAAAATACAAAAAAGATACAAAGATATCTACCGAGAGGAACCTCGAAAAAGGAGAGGCTTATGGACCGCAGGAATCTCACGTGTTCGAAATAGAGCACAGTAGGATAAATAGAGAAAAATAATAGGGAGGAAATAGAGAGAAAAAAAATTAATTGACTGACTTTCCTAACCAAATTTTTAATCCTGTTACACGCGACACTGATTTTTGGTTTTTCGACTATTAAAATCAAAATTCACGTGAGCGACTTGGTATCGCCTACGATAATTCCACATACTATCTAATTGTTCAAAATTATATTTTCTTCAATTTTATTATCCCTCCCCGCGACTATGCTCAAACTCGAAACCTGACCACCACACCGGACGTACGTTTCAATGAAATATTTACTACTTCGTTTCCTGCATTTCCGGTGTTTACGTAGCAAAGCGTCATACAAACGTTTAACAAGACGAAAATTACATTACGATAAACGCGAAACTGTTATTCATCAAATCTAAGAAATTATACGACAGTGGCGCCATCTGGCACGAACTGCATAATCCTGATATACAATTAATTTCCGGGAAGTGACTTAAAAAAAATTTTTTTAATTCTGACAAATAGTACCGAGTTATCGAAAAACATGAATGTACATACATATATATATATATATATACATTATCACCGCAGTAAAGATAAGAATGATAAGAGTAAATTTTGCCGTTAAAATTCACCAGTGACGTTACCGATAACGCTTGACATTTAAACGTGTCAGCTGATTCGATGCTCGGCACTGTCACCGGAAGTCAATTAGCCAATAAATTAATAGTGAATCATAGTGTACGCAAGGATTGCGCGTTTACGACGTTATTTTGCATCCAAACGGCGAACGGATATTTTTTTACTATTTCTCCTGGAATTCACTTCCGGTTCTTGTACCAATGAGTATTTGGAATTGAAAGTATTTCTTTAACATCGTAATCACTACGTAAGTCAGTTTCGATGACTGTTGATGTTTCGTCATTCGGTAATGTCAGATTTCCTTGAAACGCTCTGTGTATCATTCGATTCGCCGCTCGTGCAGAATCCCAATGGTTTTCTCAGAGAGCCTCGAGATCGACCGGCGTGAGTCATAGTCACCTTATGCAGATTGTATATATGGGCAGATCTCTAATGAGCGCGACAGAAAAGTATGAATGAAAAATGGTGACGTAACGGTTAACCACGTGTTACCAGGTACAGGAAACGTACACAAGAGCCGTCACTTACCGGCAAGTTGGTTTTTATGAATGAGCAACACAGTGTGCGCATATTATTATGCCTATACGTCGTACGTTACACATACGCTTATCTCCGTGCGATGCTCTGGCAGCCTACGCATGATATTCGCAAAGCGACTGTTACAAAAATATTATTTGCGAATTCGATTTCTTCACGGATTTATTCGCACGATTGATGGATTTTTCGAAATAATTTTTTTTTTTTTTAAATATTGCTTTTTAAAAGCCATTTTTTTTGGCGATTATATACTTTTAAAGGTATACGGGGTAATGGCCAATTTGAATAAAAATTTTGACACGAATTTGACCTTTCCATTAACCCCATTAGTTGCGAATTTTTTTTGCTATGCTGTATTGTTGCAATGGTATACTTTCTAACGTGCCGATGCGTCTCCGTGTAACAAAAGAGCTTTTTCAGAAGCTAATAGGTTGCACGTAGGTGCACGTGGGACCATATTTGGGCGCGTCGCCCACGTTCGCGAATTTGCAAAAATTTGCACGACCCACGCTAAAGGCAGATGTTACCAGATGGGTTTGCGATGGTGAAGACTGAAATTTGAAATGGTTGAAAGATTTTTTAGAAATTTTTATTTTCGCCAATTACGATTTTGCACGTGCGAATTTTACGATTGGGTTTTTTTTTTCATGGAAACCGATTTTTATTATTAGGGTCGTTGGTACAACGGTATTTCGCGTAACACGAAACAACCGATTCGCAGGTACGAAATTCGTTCGTCATCGATGTGCCAAAAAACAGAATTTGCGAATTTAATCGTAGACGCGGTTAACGGCACCAAAATATTCGTTGCGCCACGCAAAGTCAAAAGCACGTGAAGATTCCGGACGTGAAAAAAAGAATTCTCGCGGAACTCGTAAAATATTATTATCGCCAAATTATTCTTGTCTTATTCGCAATGACTCGCCGTTATTATTTTAACAGCATCGATTTCCGTTAAACGACTTGAGCCAATTCGACACAATTAATTAACAGCGACAGCTCCGATCCATCAGATTCAATGAATATTGAATAACGTGCGAAGAAATTCTAAAATTTTTAAAACTTTTGCACGCTCGCAAAAAAATGTATTTAAAAAGTGACAAAAAAAAAAGTCAAAATCTCAAAATCTCAAAATTCCCTCAACCATCTCAAAACTCGAGACAACTCTTGTAAGCCAATTAACAAAGTTAACGTTAAGCAAACCGGACACTGAACTCCGCACGTATCACACGTACCACGTGTGTGTAACATATCCAGCTAAACCAGCTCGTTAATTTCTGCCTTACTTCCTATACACAGCGACTGATTACCCAATGTTAATTAATTGCAACCCCAACTACAAAATCCACACTGAAATCAAGAATCCATACAATCAACCCTTTAGAATTTCCCTGTTACCCATATGGACCCGTAAGACAGCGTCAATGACAAATAGTGTCGAATATAAAATTTTCAATTTCCAAAAAAAAATCCTCATACAATTTTTTTTCGAAATTTCAACGTATCAGAAAAATTTTGAAAATCCACGCCTATGTCTCGCAATACAGTCACACGTGTTGCCACGTAGCCACGCGTGTACCGCGTGCTTTACGTACTGCCAGAGGACTCTTTAATCGCACAAAGTGTACAGAGAGAGAAACAAACGGACAAGGCCTGTTTCCATGCGCACCTTACAGCGAATGTAGCGCGCGATAGTATTACTGTACCCAAGATGGCGGAATTCTCGTATCCCAAGTCCGGATATTCAGGTTTTACAATGTAAAACACTAGGCGCGTCCTTCTGTGGCGACGTCGACATAAATTCTTTTCCTTTCTTTTTTTTTTTTCCTTTCCACAAAGTCAAACAAATACCATGCATAATGGGTCTGGACGTCAGTGTACGGAGTAGATAAAAATCCTGGAAAGAGCAAAGGAGGAGAATAACGAAAAGAGTGGAAAGAAATTTTAGCCGGCGTTGCGCGCTACGATAGCGAAGAGAAGTACCGAAGTGCATCAGACGAGTTTTCAACAACGACGCCGGGCGTCGTCCCCTCGTTAGATGGAAAAATTCCACTTTTTTTTTCTCTCCTCTTCAACGACCCACTTCTCTTTATTTAAGCGTATACCTGCACTTGTTTGAATAACATTCGTGGCACGGTTTACACGAGCCGTGATTCACGTAGCGACGCCCGACGTCGACGCCCGGCTGCATCGAGTGGCGTCGCTGCGAAAGTGTGGTTAACAACCGGCGCCCTTCGCTCCGCGTTTGGACTTTTCTTGTTTTTCGTCGAATCGACGCGGATCGGAGTTCGTTGGACTCGTTTCGCACAGCTGCGACGGACTTTGCGAAAATTCCAATCGGTTTACAACGCAGCGACCCGGACAATTCGTATCGGTATATTTGTATGCGGTACTGTTTTTCACTTTTTTTTTTTTTTTTTCAAAAAAATTTTCTCATACGCGTTAATTATTATCTCAACGCTCTTCGACCGTTTACTGTCGCAATTGTACATGTGGGAATTAATTAATTAATTGAGAGATAAGAGAAAGCCGGGATCTGGGTAATAGCTGCACTTTGCACCAGATGCGCAGTCGACAGCAAGCCGAGTTTCCATGTCAAAGAAATGAGCAGAGTAGATACATGCGTCACTGGTCAGATATGAATTTTTATGAAAAATTCGATTCCTTATAATAAATTGTAATCGAACGAACGATAATACTAAAAATCCGTACGATATTACCTATTTGATTGATAAAAACAAAAATTTTTTAAGAACGATCTCATTTTCGAAAATCTCACATTTCATCTTTTTTTTTTATTTTTTTTTTTTACAGACCCAAACCCTATCCCAACTCCACGAATCAGCACCTATCGACTAACATGGGTATCTATATAGTATCCCCAGTTAAAGGGTATTTTTAAGCAGTTAAGAGTGCCCAGTGAAAATTCAATCGAATGGACTCTGTTTTATTTATAGAGCCACTTAAGCAGAGCCACGGTCTAAGCTAAACTGGCTGGTTGCTCTGATCTGGACTTTTCTGACCCACTTTCCTATACCCAATTCAAGCCGCAACGACCCAACCGTCCTTTGGCATCCCCAATTTCCACCAGGGTATGGAACTTTAATTCGACCGCAAAGATCAAAGACCAAAACGTACGATCAGATTGCCCGGGTTATCTCAAAGCGATTAAGGTATTACGACCATTCAAATTTTATATCGAAAAAGCAGCTGATCATTCAAATGTTAAAATTTTAACTACGATTTTCGAGAAACTGTATAGGTGTCTCTGTCGTCCATACGTAAGCGCGCATAAGTTCGTCTCTCTCGCACTCACGGTAGGTATCAACTGTCTTTCCATTGGAACGATTTGAAGCTCAGTCGACATACTAAACAAGGACACGCGTTATGGGTGACTGATAAAAAAAAAATCTTCACAAGCCGCCATTATCAACAAAGAGCTCTTCTACTAACTCCTGACACACAGTACGAGAGGTAATTAAACGGATTTTATGTACCAACATCAGTCGCGTGGGTGGCTGTGTGTGCTCGTGTAAAGCCGAGCAATGCTTCTTGAAAAATATTTTCAAGATTCTCCAATAAAATTAACAAGTCAAAATATACCTGGGAGTTCCGGACGACCTTTCTCACGGTGGCTAATGAGTAATGAAAAAAAAAATAAAAAAAAATTCCATCGTCCAAATATTTTTGTGAGACAAAGGTAAAAGAGCGACCTCTGTATCCTTTTAGTGCCAAGATCCGCCGCCAGGGGTTCTACAGGTCAGACTCACTTGAAACAAAGAGAAAAGAAAAATTAGCAATTTTCAAGCAGTGCGCGCTGAATGTTTGTTGGGTTGGCAGCCTTTAAGGAAACTTTTTAATGAGATATCCCCCCCGTCCCTCCCATCAACATTGTGTCAATTGCTTCCGGTCTTTCCGTAAATTGACTTTTACCTTTTTTTTTTCCCCGGTATCTCTAGTTGGTAACAAAGTTCATCGTGCTCATTAAGGTGACTCCACAAGTACGACCAATAAGAAATAATAGATTTATATTACGCGATAACCCCTTGACGTTTTATTTATTTAAACTGGGGTAACGAATAGGGCGCTTACTCCCTGTTACAACGTAACGATCGACGGTCGCACCGTGTGGATTGGGCATAAATATTTACCGGGTTATAATGGGCGGTTTCGAGTGACAGGATATGTAATTCCCTGTGGCGCAAGGAAGTTGGGATATCGTGTACTTAACCACGGGTGTTCTGACATTTAACCTAAATTCGTTTTTTGGTTCGAATAAAAAAAAAAAAGAAAAACGAAATCGAAGCTCATACGGGGTTGGGATATCCGAGAGCTTTCATCATAAAGTGCTTTGTCAGTTTTCCCTGTATAGAGTGAACCAATTTTACATGATATATTAAACCATAAATAACGAACCCCTGTCAAGCGTACAGAAAACATAAACATCCCTTACAGCCTTATGAATTGCTTGAATATAATTTTGTGAGTGAAAAAAAATTTTTGAATATATATGTATATATGAGGATGGGAAAAATTCCGAATTGACATTTCAAAATTACGATGAGAATTATCACAGTCCGGTAGGTCAGGTTAGATTTTCCGTCTGTCTAATAGCGCATGCCAGTTCCACGAACTCCATTCTCGATTCAATGAACCCGAACCTGAGTCGTTTGAGAACTTGCCTTGCCTTTTTCGCAGAGCGGGTTAATTCCGTTCCAGCTTGCGAATATTCGAGGTCAACGAGTCCAGATCGATGGACCCGCGTATATACTTGCTAGTCTTATCCTTGTCTCTCTTGCAGGTTGGATTCTTATTATTTGCTTGTTAAAAACAGACAGAGGTGGCAGCAGCGTCGCGATCCTTCGACACGAAGCACGAATCCTTTTCGTTTCCTTTTCTCTTCTTACCCAGTCAATTAAACGCGTTTCTTTCTATTTTCCTCCATTCCTTTTTACCACCTCACAGTTTCTCACGGGTTATCTACCCGCGAGTCGGTCAGAATCGTATCAATCTACAGCGAGCGCATAAGACGCGTCCCGACGCTCTGGTTCAACGGTCCTTTGTCCAGGTCTCATCTTTTTACGCGTCTACCCCGTTACGGGGAGTTAGGCGAACTGCGTTGGAACAGACGTAAAGTCAACGAATAATCAGACAGGCAGCCGGTCGGTAGTTAAAAAGCACGTGTCATTGGCAGCCCGCGACTCGGTCGGTAAAACAGCGCGGGCCAAGATGCATTACCGACAGAGACGCCGAAGGTTAATTCTCGGCGACGTTAAAAAATTTTTCCACCTAAGAAATTACGTCCTTCAGCCAATTTCACGGCAATCTTTTCTTTCTATTCTGTTGCAACGCGGTCGCGATATTGTGAACTGGCCCTTTGATAATGTCGTTGAATAACAGAGCCGAGTTTTCACGAGTCTACACAAACATTCCCATATTCTCGGTATTCGGGTTACTGGTAAACTCGAGTGCCACCTGCATAGGATTAACGCTGCCGCGGCAGCCTCGTCTTATCGCTCAAAGCGCTTTGAGTTCCCGAGGGTCACCCTGAGTGATCAAACGTGCTTCTTTCAAGGTACAGTCGCATTTATTCGTCGCGAAGTGTGTAAGTGGATCGA